CTGGAGCGACTGCCGGGCCCCCAGCCATTCCCGTCCTCACACTGCAGCCCATCCTGCACCACCATTGTGTAGCTGGCAACTGGGTAATGGAGTGAGTGGACTGCTTTCTGCCACGGAGCCCCGGAGCCAGCCCTGGGTTCCAGCCCTCGTGGCAGGACAGGGGTGGGGGGGATGCCTCGGAGTGGATCTCGGCATGTGCATCAAGTCCCCATCACCCCAACCCAATGTTGGGGTCTCCCAGCCCTGCAGTTAGGGCCAGCGCTTTCTGGAATACTTGACTCTGGCCAGATGACCCCCAAGCATCTCACACCCAGCTGCCCCTGGGAACACAGGTGACTGGGGCAGACCTGCTCCCTGCATCCTTTTCTTTGGGGCCTTTGAGTTTAGAGGCAAAAATGCTCTTGAAAAGGATAAATTCTGCAGATGTGCCCAGGGCACTGTATCTGTTGACTGGAGCAGACGCTTCCCGCTTCTTTCTGGCCCACATTTGACTTAAAATAGCCCCAGATCTTGTAGGAACAGAGTGCAGAGAGGGCCACTCTGGAGGACATTCTGATGGCCATCAGGCCCCAAATCCCTCATCACCCAAAGCCACTTCAAAAGGATGGCAGGTGGCAATACGGAGGTGACGGGAGCAGGTCCAGGTCGGAGCACCAACTGGCAGCTTCCAAATTCCTAGTCCAGGTGGAGGTTGGGAAGCCTGGGCGGCCCTGGCTTTAAGGTGGGGCTGCCGAGGCTTCTGGGAATCGTGTCTGAAGGAGGGCTGGCCGCGAAGGCCAGGAACTCCTGCTCTGTCTCCAGGTGTGAAAGGTAAGGGGCTTCTTCAACCAAAGCCCCCAACTCGGGCTGCTCCAACAGTGGACAGCCTCGGAGAAGTGGCGGCCTGTGCACTGCGTGCTTGTTAATGAGGGCACGCCTGACATCTGACAGAATGAAGGTGCACCAGTGAGTCTGGGGCCCGCCCCCGAGGTGCTCCCCCAGGCTCATGCCAGGCCAGTCCCCAGGATGTCAAACAGGAGTGAGAGTGCTGAGCAAATCCCCCAAGCTCTTCACACGACAGCTTCACGGATGTTTGTCTTAAGTGATGCTTAGAAGATGTGAGATTCACTACCTTTAAAATTTTATTTCTGTCCAGAAGTTTTAAATCTGAATCTCAAGAACAAAAAATGTTTGAAAATATCTCCTTCAAACATCCTGGCTCAGCTGAGATGGGCGGGAGCCCGGCTGTGGCAGGCAGGCGGGCGGGCGAGCAATGGGTGGCTAAGATTGGGGCCAGGCGGGGCTGCTTCAGGGGAGAAGCTTCAAGAAATCATATCCAACAATCAACTGTTTTATAAATAATGAGCAGAGTTAAAAAGAAAAAGGAAACTCACTTGCTCATTTTAAAACCCAGATGTCTTTTAAAAAGGCGGCCAGATTATTCACAATTAAAAAAAAAATTGTAATACTGAATATATACCAATAACAAAAGATAAATACAAATCACGTTTGACTTCTGCAATTACAAAAGGTGCTCAAAGTAGTTACTGTCAGTGTAATTTTAATATTTTTTTTCTTTCTTAAAATGTGTATACATATGTTTTTCATTCTTTTATTTATGGTTGAGTTAAAAGTGTAACTCCAGAAATCAATAACGATATCCACATGCAAAACAATACCCTGGAATATGTTCATCAGTTTTGTTGAACTTACAACAAACTTGCAACAAGAAAGAGTTCTTGGCCTTCTATGATGCGTAAATATTGTAAATTTGTTGCTGGTACATAAAATTTCTTGTACCATAATATGTTAAAAAATAAATGCTAAAATTCCTTTATAATACAAAAAACAGGTACCTACACGTAAACAAATAAAAATTTGAATTAAAAAAAAAAAAAAGGCGGCCAGAGGCGGCAGGGCAAGTCTGCGGGTGCTCAGACTCTGCCACTGGCGACCTGGGATGGCATGCCGGGCTTCAGGGACTGTCAGCCCCCTAACGCCAATGAAAACAGGAAGTTTGGCCAACAAAATATTGATGTGGCAAGCAGCTCGTGCCGCAGGTGGTGGCAAGCACGCTAACTTTATAAAGGATGCAAACATACAACTTCTTTGACACTAGAATAACAACACTACAGAGAAAGTAGGAAAACGGGAATTTATTAAAGAAAAGTCTTCTGTGAGGTCCTCTACTTAGTCACGGGAACACTCTGGATTGAAACAGGTCGTCTTCTTAACAGCAAGTGGACTCTACAAGCAGCGCCTATGGGTCAATTCAAGTAGCGTTTCAAGAGCCCAGAGGGACCCCCTGGAGGGAGGCAGCCCTCCCTGTGTACAACCACTTGTTTGTAAACACTGTCACAGGCTGGCTGGACTGCGGTCTGGCACACCGCCGCACCCGAGTTTCTAAGCAATAAGACAAGCATGAGCACAGCCTGGAGCCCTGACAATCCAGGGCAGGGCTCTGAGGGCGGGGTTCGGGGACAGCTGCCCCCACCTGGGGTCTCCCTGCTCTCCCCACACTTGGTTGAGAATTAAGAGGCCCGCCCCCTCCCGGCCAGGCCACTGGGGCAGCTCAGCAGTGCAGGCAGGCACCGCCTACGTGCGGTTCAGGGTCTGGAAGATTCTGGAGATCTGCAGCATGACCGGCCCCGTCTCGGGGTCGTTCATCCACTGGGTGCTGTTCAGTGGGTTTTCAAGCATGTCTTCAAATGCTGTGAGGAAAACAGAGCCAAGCTGAGTAATTGCTCCCTCTGCACACCTGCACGCACACGCGCGCGCACACACACGCACACACGCTGGAGGAACCTCCTACAGCTTCTTAATGAAGACAGGATGCCCAGAAAGCCCAGGTCACTGCAGAGATCCCTGCTAACCACTACCCACAGTGTCTGGTCTGCTTATCAAACCAGTAGGCTTGAAATCAGAAGGCAGTGTTTCCAGTTCTGGTGGTGGTGATGGTGGTGGTGGTGACATGCCTCGGTGTGTTCACTGGAACACCGATTCTGGAAAGCAATTTGGCAACAGCTATCAGGAATCTTAAAAATAGTCTCAGCCTGTGACTCAGTAATTCCACTTCCAGTCCTACCCTGGCAGGAAAATATCTCATGCAGAAAAGACTTACATATGAAGATATTTGTTGCAAATTTGATAATATCTAATTGGAAAAATAAAAATGTTCAATCTTGAGAACATGACTTTAAAAAAACAGCTCATTAAAAATGTAACTGAGCAGTTCTTTAAAATGAAAACTGATTTTCTAAACAGTTTTACATAATTGCTCTCCCAGAAAACAGAGGTGCCGTCCAGCCAAAAGCTCTACAATCCACACAACACCAGCTATGGGAAAGAGCACACACGCTGCAGGGCGCCCAAGTTTGCAGGCTTCATGGGAGGCATTTAGTCAAGGAGTTCACAGCTACTCAGGGTCATGTGGGAGCGTGGCCCATTCTGTTTATGACCTGACAACCCTCCCAACCCTGAGACAATCGCTGGAGGTCCCCCAGATTAAAATCCTCAGAAAACCAGTTGAACATGTCAGAAAGACAACTTGGCATCTAG